AATTATAATAAAAATAATAATATTTATAACACAAAAAAACCTAAGATCCAAGAACCTTGGGTCCTAATACTGGACCCAAGAGAAATAGGTTTAGACTCAAGAACCTTGGGTTCTAATGCTGGACCCAAGAGAAATGGATTTAGACCCAAGAGAATTTTAACCTAAAATAGAACTCATTAGCCTTAGGGTCTTGATAGAGAACCACTAACCTTGGATACCCGTACTGGACCCAGGAGAATTAGACCTTAACATAAGATCCATGGTCTTAAGTCAAGCGGGGTTGCAAGATCTAAGAGATTTGTGTAAAACCATGACTTATTATATCTAGAATAACAAGAAACATGATAAAAATTTTGATGCATAGAGATTTCATTATACATTAAAGTAAAAATATTTGTAGTTATTAAAAGAATAAAAATAAATGATAAAATACTTGCACCAAAAGTTAGCTTGGAAATGTTAAATATTCAGTTGCAAAACAGTACAAAAACACTGAGTAATAAATGGAAATAACTAGTTTTCTATTTTGAAAACCAGTGGCGCCGATAAAATTGGCCACCAGAAACTCCCCCTTATAAACTTTTTAGTTTGGAAACTAATGGTGATTAATATTTGTACCAAATGTTTGGGGGAGGAATTATAAATTCAGTCCTTTAACAGTAAAAAAAAATACTGGGATGTAAGTTGGCATGCAACCAAACATGATATAGGGTTAACTAAGGGGGTATAAATCTTTTGAGTCTAAAAGAACAAAGACCCTTCCTCTTCCCTCTAGGGCCAACCATGATCAACAAAAATACCTTCCCCCTTGAAATTTCCTCACCAAAACACTTGCATGTCCTTGGAAAATCATACTTAGATGAATAATGAGTGAGTGGGAGGATGAAAACCATCATTTAGAGGTATAGAGAGAGAAATGTTCGGTCAAGAACACCCTAGGCTTATTTAAATTCGTGAGGTAAGAAAATTTTCCTTGTCTCCACCCTTGTTTGAATGGATATTGTTAGAAGGAATGAAACCACTAAATGTATAGCCCTAGGGTTTTGAAATATACTGATTTTGGGAACCTAATGAAACAATGAAAAGATATATTAGATGAAAAGGTTGATATAGCTGTTAAAAGAATGCATGAGAAATTCTTCTTTAATTGTAAAGCCTAGGAATTTAAGTCCGCATAGAATTCAAGCCTAGGAATGCATGAGAAACTCTTGACAGCATAACCCAACGCTGGTGGCTCTTTTCTGAAGTATTTTGGGCCTAACTTGAAAACTACACCTAACAATGTTAGGTTCAGCTGCAAGTCAAACTCATAGCTTTTGGTACATGAGGCATGCCTCTTTGTTCACAATGAAAATAATCTATGGCTATAATGTCGTTTACAGTACAATGTATTTATTCTCACATATTTTAAAAAAACTCAACAGAGAATTAACCTAAATAAGGCAATTTACAATAAAAATATTAACAATCTAAAGTGATTCGAAACATTGCAATCCATGATAAAAACACTTATGGTCTAAAAAAAAGCAATCCTGGTCCTCAGTAACTCAGTCTAAAAACACCATCCTTTTTAGTTATAGTTAATAACAATGTATAATATAATAATAATTGTGCAAGTAGTGGGATTCTTACAAACACATCTTTCCACTTATGTATGATTTATAGCTGCCTAGGGATTTATAAATTGATGAGATTTGTTGTTTGCATTTCTTAACATAAGCAAAAAATAAAAAATATATATATTGACAAGAAAGGTATTCCTGGATCTAGATCCTTAGAGCAGCAACTCGACCATCCTTTGCTATTTGTTCTTGTTAGCTGTCCTTGCATTCTAATTAAGGTTGCCTTTTACGACCAACATCAAACACTTGATTACGCATCTACATGACACCATTGCTTTGCTTTTAGGATAAACTCTCCAAACATTTTCCGCAGAGGAAACTTACCATCACTTGTAAAGCATGCTCGAAAGCAGTTTAGTGATGGTCATTAAGCCGTCTTCATAACATCAACGGCAGTACTAATGCAGTTGCAATCTATGAGACTCATCTTTACCGCTAATTACGTTCTCCAAATTAACTAGTGGAAGAGATTTTCATTCCTTATCCACTCATTTTTTCCTGTTTTACAGAAATTAGGAATAGAGAACGCATATCAAATTAAGAAAGATCCATCTCTTGGAATAAATTGTTGTGTGATTTGATATATCGTGGTCAATAACATTGCAGTAGCATTCATAATTATCATTATTAGATGTGGACTCCCAAACCTGTATCAGCTTTTGCTAATGATTGCCAGATAAAACTTCACCTTCAAAATGTAAAACGATATGGCAGAAGCACACAAGTTCAGAACGAAAAGAAGGCACAAAGCAGCTGCTTTGATAAAGGATGCACAAGATCCAGGTGCAGATGATCTCGAAGGTTATTCACAGGCTCTCTACCTGGACAAGTTCTTGAAATGTTGCTTCAAAACAAAATGGTTCAGCTAGTATGATTTCAAACATATCAGATTCAACAACCCCAAAGACAAAGAAAAGTCGAAAGGGATGGATCAGAAATCGCCAGTTTGAAACTGTTCATGAGTTGTGCAAAACAAAGCAGTGCTCCAAAATTTGGCAGGCCAGTAGGTTACGACCAACGCAAGGCTCAGTGCTCCAAAATCTTGATCTTTTCAAGACAGTTTTGCATGTGCTGATTAACATCAGCAGAGAGAGGTGCTCCAGCTGCATGTTTGTAGTGCTCAAATTTCATTTCATCACTCTTCAAGGCAGCAACTTTACAGGCCTTGATACTTCCTAGAACAACAAGGACAAGCAAAATTAAAGAGAAAAGCTGAGTAAAAGATCCAATGCCCGCGAAGGAAGTAAAATCAGAATAAAACATATTGGAACATTGAGATAAATTGGAAATAGTTTGATTTTGGGATCAACTGAAAGGTTATATTGTTGCAAAAACACCTGAACCCGCATGGACATCAAATTGATAACAGATGGCAGGAAGTTTGCGGGTCTAACTAATTTTTTGTTCCTTTGTTCTAGTTCTCTTCATTATCAATTTGCTAATGAACAGTTTTCAGCTTACCACTTAGGTCGGTTCAAAAAGGAGAGAGGGGAGAAGAAAAGGAAGCAACTCACCACTTAGATCTAGCAGGTTGAATAGCACTGGGTAGTTACCAGTGCGCCTAACCATCGTAATTTCAGACCAGATCTTTTGGTCTCCTCTCGTGAGGTTCTGATGATACATAGCTTGGTAAATGGATTCACATACTTGACTGCGCATAACCCAGATTTAGAAGGGTGAGAGAAGATTTTACAGTGAGGTAAAGGGAAGTTTGCAAGCAGCGGAAAACTTGAACTGCCAACAAATTACGTACCTTGGAACGATCCAAGGGATGAAGCCAAACCACACTCCCCAAAGTTTACAAGAATACTGTCTTTAATCGCTTTTGAAACATTATATTGTGTTATTATAATAGGATCATCCACTCCAAGATCTCGATTTGGATCCAAGAAAACTTCCATTATCATGTACCTATTCTTAAATCCCACCATGATCCTTTACCTAGCTTGTAAAGACAATTTTGCTGGGATAAAGCAAATCAGCATAAAGAATATGGTACTTGGCATATGTTATATGAAACATGCACGAAATCTTACATGTACCCGGAACATTCTAAACCCTGAAAAGGAGAAATTACTAAATTAGGGGAGAAGTGAATGAACTAAACCATGAATGGTTGGAAAACCAAAGTAAATGAGTAGACTCACAACCCTGAACCAATAAAATTAAAATAAAACAACGGCACCAAATTTCTGTCAATAAGAAACATGTATTATCACCAAATTAGGTGGTTGCAGAAACTCCAAGGTCCAAACTGATATAACAATATATAATGTGAAGTAAGCAATCAACTCTGAATTTAAACATAATTGCTAGCAACATAGTCCCCATTCTGAAACTTTAAGTTCTCTTTCTAATGTAACCGAAAGTTCTGATAAGTAAAGCTCAGATAGAAGGGAAAAAAGAGGTGTCTGACACGGCTCACATGCACTGGGTGTTCACAATATGATGATAAGCTTGTGCTCGCCGGAGGAGAGAATCAAAATAAGGATGCTTCCAAGTTTTCAGTTACGTAGTTAGTTATATCCAGTTATTTCTTATCATTACAGAAATGCTACCAGGGGGAATGTAAAGTCAAAAACGAATTCACATGCTATGTGTCATGGATATCAACATAACACACATAAATGCCACAGCAAATCACATTCCATGCACAAGCAAAAAGAAAATTCAAGAAGTCAATTAAAGCAGGAGGCGCTGAACTTCACTGATGTTATCGATACCTTAGAATCAGTGCAATGCACAGAAAATCAGATGCTGAGTAAACTGTCAGCCAAACTCACCATCTCTAACTTTAATATAACCACTCCAGCAATCATCATTTGCATTTATAAATGCAAAGTTAACTTCACCGAAACCAAAAGAAAAGTAAAAAAAATCATTTAATAACTATCTATAAACTACCTTGGAGAAGGGGAAACACCATTGACATGTGACAAAAACTATTAAACTATATTTAATAAAAATGCAAGGCAGGAATTTTTTTTTCTAGGAAAAAAATTAATATTAACAACAGACAACTTTGAATAACAAATACAAACTAAAACAATAAAATTCAACAAATCAAAAGGTAGAATAATTTACCAACCAAGATTCAAATTATCGAATTCGACCACAGATGGACCTCAGATGACGTGGCAATGTAGGAAGACGAGGTCAGGTTTGCTTACATGGCATTTGGTGACATGGCTTATTACGTCAATGTGGCTCTAGAGTGATGAGGTGGCATGTGATATGGTAGGGTTGATTAATTTGCCTTGAGTGCTTTTGTGTCCCTTGTTTCCTTGCCTTTCGTAATTTGTTGCCACTGCTAACAACGAGGGCACAAGAGAATGTGGATAAATGATTCTGCTTGGGATCGGTGGTTTGAGTAAAGGGGATGTGGTGTCTGTGGTGTCGCTATTGGACGGTGGGCTTGTTGATGATTGGATCCGTTGTTGCTGCTAAGGGCGATGACACTATGGACGGTGGCAGATGACGATCTATTACGCTACCTGCCTTTGCTGTTCTGAACCATGAATTGGTGTTGGTTATTATGGGTTTTGTGGGTGGCTGCGACTGTTCTGAACCATGATTTGGTTGTTGAAGTCGATGGTCTGCTGTGGAGGCGTCGCTGAAAATGATTTGGTGTGATCTGCCGGTGGCATGGAGAGTGGCCTACTGTAGGAGAATATGTCGTCGTGGGTGCTATAGAGACTTGTCGTGGATCTTGGTGTGATCGTCGTTAATGCAGAATTTCTTAGAATTTGATTTCAACATTAACACCACATTTTCAATTACTTATGTAGCAGATGTCTATTCCAGGAGGGAAAAAGGAAAGAGAACATTCCTAACTTGTAGAACTTTCTTTTACTGGAACCAAAAGAAAAAAAATTACCCTCGTTAACCTAGTATAACTTGCATTAGTAGCATTACTGGCATCCCAATTACAGTTTACAGGCTGTATGATCAGAATCCTTGCTTATAATCCTTATTTTATACTATTTGCAACCATAATTGTGAAACACAATTCATAGAGAATAATCCTGTTGAGTTTCTGTAGCAATTACAAACTATAGGTCATATTAAAGCATTCTCATAACAGGAACTAAACCAATTCTTGAACTATACAAACTATATCTCCTACTACCAAGGTTCTATAACTAAAACATATTATTTGAAATAGAAGCACAAGCAAATATATATACAAAAATGCAATGATTTGATTTTTATTTAAGATTTTTATAAATAAAAATCTTCTTAGCAAATATATCAAATCCAGAATATTTGTTTTTAATAGTTAACCAAGCTCGAGGTAATATAGATCTGGCAAATATGCCAATCCTAAAAAAAAGTAGACTTGATAACATGGTAAGTTCAAGAAAACGTGTATCTGATAAACATGTCAAATCTAAAAAACTTAGACATTATTAAGTTCTAAGACTATATGTCTAATCCTGAACAATCTTCTAAAATATAAATATTTAAAATATGATAAATCATTAGCATTATCTCTATCTAGAATAATCATTCATATTAAAATAATAATTTATTTATACTTATAGGTGTATACAAAATCTCTTAAGTGACCTACCCTACTTACTATCTTATTAATGATATGTAAAATATATTTGTCTTTTATTAATATCACCGAAAACAAAGAACTTTTCAGTCTTTTTATTCTTTAAAAACAACAAGTTTAGGGGGTATAAATACATATTAAACCATCCAAGTAAAAGGTTCATAACCTATCATCTCTTAAGATAAAAACATATAGATTTTAAAGCATTAACCAATTTAAAACTCAAGAATAAACATCTTTATTTCTTGAATTTAAGACTTTTTTAAATCATCTATTACCTTAAATTATTTTATACATTCCTATAAATATGCTAATTTTATCATTGGAGAGTTTTTTAAGTTCTTAGATTTGGATTGTTTTTGCAGGTATTCAATCTTTTTTTTTTAGTTTGGAGTTTTTTGAATTAAGAAAAAAAATCTAGCCGCTTGAACAATTGATAAACTACTATCTCAAAATTCCAAGTGCTTATAAAATATCTAGTAAGTTTTCATGTATCCTAACAACTCATATTTTAAAGATCTAGATTATTAATTTGACTAACATCTCAAGAGATGCAATGTAAAAATAAGATAAATATAAGGTCTCATAAGCATGAAAAGTATTAGTCCTTTGAAATAAGCAACTCTAAGATGCATATTATATCATTGGCTACAAATAGAATACTTTACTTATTGTCAAGACTCATGCTACTCATTATATTTGTACTAACTTATCGGATTTCTGAGAAACTCTAACAAATTAAACTACCTATAAATAACCTTTTAGATTGATGATAAAGGCATGTGACTTCTGGTTGAATGCTACAAGTAATAAATCTAAATAAAAAGCTCTCTAATTTAGGAAATTATATTAAAGTTGGAAAGAAATCCTTAAAGTTTATAAAACACAAAAATTCCTTATCGCATATGTGCAGCGTCACGACAATCTTTCACTTTTTCAAGTGAGTGTCTAACTAGTAAATATAAAAGACTAGGAATTCCTGTCTTTTATTAGTGAAAAATAAAAAGGGAGTTGTCACTTAGTATTTTAGTCACTAGAAACCTTAATTGGTCTTAGAGATCGGTTATAGACACTGATTGCATAAAGAAAAGGTATTAGCACCCTCAAATACATCATATCTATGGTAGGCTGTATTGTTTAATTGTCTGATAAAAAAACTAAAGTCTTGTCATGTTTTTTAATTGCTGGTCTGTCTATGGTTTAAAAAAATTTCTTCTCAATAAGAAGATTCTTATCATATCAAGTAAAACCTAATCATCATAACATCAATAAAAGAATTATTTTTTTTAATATCAGAAATATGTTTTACGTATAAATTCATAATTCTGGATATTAAAAGAAAACAAAATAATTTTTTTGGATTTTTTTAAATATTTTCCAAGTTCTCGTGACTTTAATAAACAGTTATTAAAATCAAAATGCATGCTTAAACATATTCATATGAAAATATAACATGATTTTTTTGCTTTCAGACACTTGACCGTATGCATGAAAACAAAAACATGTTTTTTGTTTTTTTATTTAATGTTTTAATGAAAAATAGGTATTTTAATACCTATTTTATATTTTTATAGGATAAAAATACAAGCCAATATCAAGAAAAATTTAGTAAAAAAATACACAAAAAAATTAAAAAAATTTAAAAAAATTTTAGACCAAACTGGCCCAGCCTACTCATTTTGGGCTCTACTATTCATTAGTGAAACAATGGAGCTTGAAAAGAACAGAGCAGAAGAAGAAAAATGAGGAGGAGGAGGGAGGAAAGGAGAGTAGGCTGACCTTGTGGTGGTGTTGGCGGTGTAGCTGGCAGTTATTAATGGGAAAGTGGCTTGGACGGTGGTCAGCCTTTCTTCTTCTTATCCATGCCTTTTCTTCTACTCTGTTGTTCCTCTCATTCTCTGTTTTATTCCTTTTACCTATCTCTGGTTGTTCTTTTGTTTATGTGGTGACAACTGTTGTTAGCAGAGCTGCTCATGGTAGAGGAGTTGTTGTCGTGGCTCAGTGGTTGTGGCAACCCGTGCTGCTATTTTTCTTCTTTTTTATAGTGTTACAGTAGTGGAGGAAGATGGTGAGAGGCTAACAATGGCGTTGCTAACGTTTGACTAATAGAGTTGTTATGGGAGGCGACAGGGAGGAGTAGAGGTTGCTGTTGCAATTCTTCTTTTCCCTTGTGTGTTGCCTCTATCAACAATGTCCTCTTCTCTCTGTTCTTTCTCAAATCTCTCATTCCTTCTCTGTTTTCAAATGTTCACCCTTCATTTCTCTTTTCAAAACCTTTTGCCTCTCCTGGAATTTTCTCCCTTCTTTGTATTTATAGCTAGGCGGAGAGAGAGTCCCCCCTGCCTTATTCCATCAAAGTGTAGAAGGAAAATGGAGCTACCTTACCATTGCACGTTAAGGTGGCCAGTTGTCTGCAGAGCATAATTGTATTAATTGTGGCAGGGTAAGGGGGATGGCTTATGTATGGGTTTTGTGGGCAAGTGAAAGGGGAAAGAGAGAGAGAATAACAGGGAAAAAAGATTAAAATCTTCTTCTTCCCTGCCTCTGCATGAGGCAGGGAAGAAGAGAATAATACAATTTAAAATGACATTATTTTAGTGTTTTTTTTTAAGAAAAGAAAATATAATTAGGAAGAACCCAAAAATAGGTTATGATATTCCTTTCTAACATTTGTAGCAATATCTAGGGAAAAATCTAATCGTATGCATTATGCTGAAAAGGTTGTAAGCTATATCCTTCTAGAGATAATAAAATAGATAGTAGAGAAAAGAATACAAAAGGCTTTTGTTTTTTTTCTTATCTTTTTACAACTCACTTGCTCTTTTTATAGAAAGGAATAACATCTAGTCTAAAAAGGTAAATTGTTAAACTTAAGATCTAATTATAGTAATTATAATCTCATTTATTTATTGAAATTTGATCCACAAATCAAGCTTTGATTAATGTTGGTTATGATTTCCAACATGCCCTCTCAAGTTGGCGTATGGATGTCTAAAATTCCTAACTTATGAAGAAGAGCATGGAACAATAAGTTGTCAAGTGGCTTACTAAATATGTCAACTATCTATTGAGCTGAACAAATGTGAGCTATCTTGACTAATACTAATTGTATTTTCTCACGCATAATGTGGCAATCAATTTTAAAATGTTCTGTGCGTTCATAGAACACGAGGTTAGTTGTCGTAATATAAGAAAGTTGGCAATGAGTGTGTTACCAGCAAGTCTTGCAAAATATGTTTAAGCTACACTAATTCACAAGTGAGAGAGGTCATGGATCTATATTATAATTCTGTTAAGGATCATGACATGATTGATTGTTTCTTGTTTTTTCAGGATATGGGTGCTTATCCAAGAAAGAAATAAAAACCTATAACAAATCTTCTGGTTGTTGGACATCTTGCCTTGTTAACATCACAATATCATTTCAATTGCAGCTTGCAATGTGATGTGATTAGGAAACCTTGACTTAGTGTTTTTTTCAAGTAGCATAGGACACAGAATGCTACCTCAAGGTAAGGTCTCTCTTGTTGTTACATAATTTGGCTGAGAATATAAACTAAGAAGGTGATGTTCGGCCTTGTGATAGTGAGATATATAAGGCGAACAACAAGGCATCTATATTATGATGAGTCTTTGAGTAGTTCTCCATTTGAAGGTGTGAACCTTTGACTTTGCTTCATTGAAATTTTAATTGGTTTTGCCCCACTTATACTTGCATCCTCAAGTATACCCAGAGTGTATATACATTGAGAAATAACAATGCCTTGCTTTGAGTATGCAACTTTAATTCTAAAAAAATATCTAAGGTGGCCTAATTCGAAAATTAATGTGTAAAAATCTCTTAAGTTCTTTAATTGCAGTGTTGTCATTTCATATGATGATTATATCATCAACATAAAGTAATATTATTGTAAAGAAACACCTCATACCTTAGTGAACAAGGAATAATCTGCCTTAGATTATTAAAAGCCAACTCATTTGATGGTTTTTGAAAAATTTAATAACTGAGTGTGTGATGCTTGCTTTAACTATATAGTGACTTTTAAAGTCAACGTACCATATTTTCATGAAGATTGGAAATAGGTAACATGTAAACTGCTTCATTCCAATCCCTATGGATGAAGGCATTGTAGACAGCAAGTTAATATAAGGACTAACGTCTGATAGCTAAAACAATAAGTAAGCATTTGAGGGTGACTAATTTGGCTACAAGTGAAAAGGTTTTAGTATAGTTAAGACCTTTTATTTGTGTATATCTTTTGGTAACAAAGTGCGCTTTGTATCTTTCGATTGTGCCATCAAAGCGGTATTTAATCTTTTATACTCGTTTGCTTCTAAAGGCTTGTTTTTCCATTGGTATGGGACATAAAATCCATGTTTTGTTATGTTTAAGAGCTGTCAATTCAACCAACATTGCCTCCCTCCATCTTGGATTAGAATCATCTTGCGCAAAGGATTTAGGTTCACTATAGAAAGGGAGAGACTAGTGATAGGACAACAATAAGAGGGAGATAATTGATCATAAGAAACAAAGTTAGATGAAGGATGATATGTACCTGGACAATAAGATGATGACCTAGAGGAAAGCATAATGATAGGTGGTGTTTACATTGATTACATTAAAGAACAATGGGTGAAACGGTTTCTAATATGGGCATGTTGAGTGTACGAGGCATGGATTTATTTAGGAGGTGGTGACTATAAAGAGGTTGGTGCTAGCATGGGGTGATCATATGAACATGGAGTAGTGGGGTTGGGCTGGATGTTAGATGATGTTATAATACTTGGTGATGAAGTTATTGTTGTTAGTTCAGTTGGGTATGCACGGTTAGAGGAGTGGTGAGTATAAGTTGATATGTATCATCTGATAAAGGTAAAGGTAGGATCAAAGGGTCTTGATAGTCAGTTTATGTGTCTTGGGATTGGGTGGAAAATGAAAATATTATTTCATGGAAATGCATATTAAGACTAGAAAAAAAAAAGGTTTTTATGGAAGATCATATAGGTGATATGTTTTTTGGCCAAATAAGTACCCTATAAAAATACGTTGGTGTGGCCTGGAATCAAACTTACATAAGGGATTAATGTAAGTGCCATAACTATACAGTCGAATATTTTCATATGGTTGTAATGGGTTGTGTTGTTATATAGCTTATTATATGGTGTGCTTTTAAAGAAAATGGGAGTCGATAATCTATTTATTATATATACAGTAGTAAGAATGATTTCCCTTCAAAATATATATGGTAAAAAAGCTTGGAATCATAGAGCATAAGCAACATTTAAGACATTATAATGTTTGCGTTCTTTGACTCTATTTTGTTCTAGTATAGATGAACAAGAATGATGAAAAAGGATTTCCAAGTCTTTAGAAAAAAAGTCGCATTAAAATGAACTCATTCCATTGAATGTTTTAACTTGTTTAACAATGCATTGGAATTGTGTTTTAACAAATACGATGAAGGATTTTAGTAAATCTTGTGTTTTTTATTTGAATATCATGAGATGTATCTAAGTGTAGTATGAGAAATTATCTAAAATAGTTAAAAAAAAAAATAGCTAGCACCAAAATATGAATGAATGCAATGGAACCTTAAATGTCACAATGTATGAGATTAAAAGGCACATGTGATAAGTTTAAAGGCAATCTAATCTGTTTTGCCATGGGAAAAATCTTACAATGCTTATTAGGATAAAAAAAAACCTTAGGAATTATTTTGGATAAAAATTATAATGGTGTAGTATAAGGATATCTTAGGCAACAATGCTATAAATATGTAATGGTAGAGATGGTGCTAACTTGAATTTCCGGTGGTGACTTGATGGATGTGTGTTTGGATAGGTAGTACAGACTATTATGCTCCTTCCCCATACCAATCATCTTCATCATTTTCAGGTCCTATAAGATACAAAAGTTAGGGTGAAAAATGATGATACAACGTAAATTAAGAGCAAGTTTACTAACGGAGAGTAAATTAACCCAAAAGGAAGGTAAGGACATTTTTTTAGGAATAAGTTTGAATTAACTTATACCATGCCAACAGATCGGGTGTCTATGTGCGACCCATTAGGCAAACAAACAATGTTATGGTAAGGTGTATGATGCAAAATATTGGAGGAGAAGGATATATGGTCTCTTGCACCACTATCAATGATCGAAGGCCGTATAACATTTGGGATTGAGGTTACCTGTCACATTGCCACAAAAACTGGTTCTTACCAAGTAAAGCCCTTATTTAATTGTATTCCTCTTCTATGAATTGAAGAAAGTTCTAGTTTGTGTTCTCTGCCTTGGTGGGTTTGATCATACCGAGAGCATTATTAGTTGTGAAATTTTTCTTCGTATTTGGTGGCTTAACTGCTTTGCCATGAAATTTATGCCCTGATGGAAAGCCAATGATGTAATAGTAGTGGTCGACTATATATGTGCATCTCCCTCACAGTGTGTGCAATACAGGAATTTCCCTTCTCTATTTGTAGGTTGTCTATTCTCTGTGTTCTTTATGTTAACATGTAATTAGCTGAATTAGAGGGTAGTTTTCTATATATAGAAGACATACTCTATATGAGCCCTGAAAGGATATACATTGTTGTATTCCTTTCAGAATAGGAAAGATGTAATCGACATATATATATTTGCCTATATAAGGCATCCCTCCACAGGAGAAGAATAAGATGCAGAGTATACATCCAACCCTAAGCCTTAAAAGTTAACATGGTATCAGAGCAAGGTTGAAAGCTAAAATCTCCCTTTAACTTTTCAGCCGCCACATTAATCTTCACCTGGAATTGGTCTTGAAACAAGGGACCAACCATGGATGACACAAATACTTCTTTTATTCCCATAAACTAGACATCAATCTCTGTTGAAACACCTAACATAAACACCTTACCCTTTGGATTTAAATTGAATGAGACAAACTTTAAAATCTAGTCACGTATGCTTGAACTGCACGCTAATCTGGTCACGTATGCTTGAACTGCACGCTGCTGGATTGAACAAACTTGGCTACTTAACTGGGCAGAATGCTAGAGTGGAAAAAGGAAATTCTGGTTACTCAAAGTGGTGCACTGAAGATGCAGTGGTACGAGGATGGTTGTTGAAAACCATGGAGCCTCATCTTATTGGTTTATTTATAAACCTGTCATTAGCCAAGGAAATCTGGGATAATGCCACTCAAACCTTCTGTGATGGGGCTGATGAGTCATAATTCTATGAGCTACACTGCAAAGCCATGAGGACAAAATAGAATGGGCATCCAGTTAACTTGTATTACGCAGAGCTGAATAGTGTATGGCAGGAAATTGATAAGCTACGACCGATTAAAATGATATGTGCTGTAGATCTTAGAACCAGACAAGAAGAAATTCAAAAGGACCTTATCTATGACTTTCTTGTAGGTTTGGATGAAGTATTTGATTCAATACGCAGTGATCTTCTTCGTAAGAAATCTGTTCCAAGTATTGAAGAGTGCTTCAATATAATTCGACGAGAGGCTCAGCGACAAGTCACCATGCTGGGAGCAAAGAACACTAGTGAAGGATCATCAATTGCAATGATTTCCAAATCCACCACCTCTTTTAACTTGCGCACTCTTCGAGCTATTGAGGAAGCAGAAAAAGATAAGTTGCGTTGTAGCCATTGTAATGGAAGTCGTCATACCAGAGACACTTGTTTTGAGATTCATGGCTACCCTGACTGGTTTCTAGAAAAACAGAAGCAAAGTAAAGCAAGAAGCAATAAACGACCAGTCCAAGCAAAATTAACCACTACAATAGAAATTCCTTCTAGTTTTGCTGTCATGGGAATAAGCCAAAAAGACCACACTAAACTGGGTGAATTACTCTCCTTAGTGAAAATTGACCAGGCTTTAGCCACAGGTAAAATTGGAGTGGTTTTGTCGACATCCACGGTTCATGATACAAGTTGGATCATTGACTCGGGTGCCATAGACCATATGACTTATAACAAATCATTATTCCAATACATGACTCCCCCGTCTAAAGAAAAAAGTCATGACAGCCAATGGAGAGTCTACCCCAGTCATTGGAGCAGGATCAATTGTTCTCACTCCTAATCTTTCACTACATAATTGTTTACTTGTCCCTGCACTTTCAAATCATTTATTGTTTGTTAGTTAAATTACAGAAGAATTGGATTATGTGGTATTAATGTTTCCCACGTTTTGCTTACTTCAGGATATCAGGACTCAAGCGATCATTAGACGTGGTACTAAGAGGAAGGGGTTATACTATGTAGATGACGTTGCTTCAGGTTATGTCCATCAAGTTTAGAGTCACAATGGTAATAATCACAAGAATATTTGGTTATGGTATCGTCGGCTAGGTCATGCATCCTTTGGCTACTTAGAAAAATTATTTCCTTCCCTCTTTGATGACATTCCGGATCCAAGTTCTTCTCTTAAGTGTAATGTTTGCATCTTGGCCAAGAGCCATCGAACCTCATATCCTGTAAACATGAATAAAAGAACAAAGCCTTTTGAATTGATCCACTCTGATATTTGGGGACCTACTCTAGTTACTTCCCAATCTGGAATTCGATGGTTTATTACATTTGTCGATGATTGCACCAAAATGGCTTGGTTATATACTATGCAACACAAGAGTGATGTGTGTAATATATTCGTAATTTTTTATCGCATGGTGTGCACTATGTTCTCCCTGCCGATGAAGATTATTCGATCAGATAATGGTGGAGAATATCTTAACTCTAAACTCTTGAGTTTCTTTCAAAACAATGGTATTCTCCATAAGACTACTTGTCCGTGTACTCCACAACAAAATGGTATGACAGAACGCAAAAACAGGCATATTCTTGAAACTACTAGAGCTCTTCTCATTGGTGCCCATGTCCCTCAACATTATTGGATTGATGTAGTAACCTATGCTGTGTATCTCATCAATCGGATGCCATCTCAAGTCCTCTCCTTCAACACTCCCCTACAGACTCTCACTCAACACATTCAGATTCCATCCCTCCTATACTTAGAACCTCGTGTGTTTGGATGTGTAGCTTATGTCCACCTGCAGAAAACTTAGCACACAAAACTGAAACCATGCGCAGTACGATGTGTCTTTCTTGGTTTCAATCCTCACCAAAAGGGATACCGGTGCTACCATCCTTCTTCTCACCAGATGCATGTCAGTATGGATGTTACCTTCTCTGAAATAGAATATTGTTTCCACATGAATCCATCTAGCTCTAGTCCTCAGGGGAACCTGGAATATGATACCTACAACTGGATTGATCTTTAGTCTGATTCAGGGGAAGGAAACACGGATTCAGGGGAAGGAAATATAAAGCAGCAGCAGTCAGCTTCAGGGGAAGAAATGGAAACTAGTACATGCATAATTAGTAATGCTGGGGAAGGAAATACAAAGCCCAGCTCCAGAATATGTGCAACGGACAGTGCAGGGAAAAAAGACATAGAGTGCAATGCACACTATAACAATGATGTAGAAGAAAAATACATGCATGATGAAATAACCCCTTCCTCTACACAAATCCATGTTCAAGATCGACCGGATATCCATGAGGTAAGTAACACTGAAAGCCCTTCCTCTTTACCTTTATTATCTACCCCATACTACTCTCTCCCTCCTAGACAAAACCGTGGAAAGGCCCCTGACAGGTACTCCCCAAATGGCAAAGCAAAATATGCAATCACACAGTATGTCTCTACACACAAACTACCACTACAACATCAAGCCTTCATAAGTGAGATGGAAAATATAAAAATACCTACAAAGGTTGAGGATGCCTTACAACACCCAAAATGGGTAGAAGCAATGGAGGTTGAAATGAGTGCATTACAAAAAAATGACACATGGAGTATTGTATCACTCCCTTTAGGAAAAAAAAAAACCAGTGGGCTGCAAGTGGATATTCAACCTCAAACATAGAGCAGACGGCACAATTGATCGGTTCAAGGCAAGGCTGGTAGCAAAGGGGTACACATAGTCATTCGGCATTGACTATCAAGAAACTTTTGCTCCAGTTGCAAAAATGAACACCATCAGAGTCTTGTTGTCTTTAGCAGCAAATTTCAGTTGGCCTTTGAAGCAATTTGATGTGAAGAATGCATTTCTCCATGAGGATCTGGAAGAAGAAGTCTATATGCAGCTCCCACCTGGGTTTAACAGTTCACAATCAAGTGGAAAAGTGTGTAGATTACGGAAAGCATTGTATGGCTTGAAGCAATCGCCAAGAGCCTGGTTTGGGAGATTCACAGAAGCTATGAAACGAATTGGTTATCAACAAGGTAACTCTGATCACACTTTATTCATCAAACAGAAGAATAGTAAAGTTACACTGCTCATTATTTATGTAGACGATATGATCGTAACTGGTGATGACACAGATGAAATAAAAAAGCTACAAGAATGTTTGTCTACCGAATTCGAAATGAAAGATTTAGGAGGACTGAAATATTTTTTGGTAATTGAAGTTGCAAGAACTAAAGATGGGATATACTTGTCACAATGAAAGTATATATTGGACCTATTATCTGAAATGGGTATGCTAGAATGCAAACCAGTAGTCTCTTATTGTTCAAAATCATTGTTTGGCCATTCACCCAAATCAGGTACCAACAAAGATACCAGCGATTGGTAAGGCGGTTAATTTATTTATCTCATACACGCCTAGACATTGCCTATGCGGTTAGTGTGGTAAGTCAATTTATGCATGCTCCAAGCGAAGATCATATGACAGTCATAATGAGAATTCTGAGTTATCTAAAAGGGGCTCCAGGAAAAGGACTAACATTTAAAAGACATGGAAATATGGAAGTGAAAGGATTTACTGATGCAGATTGGGCAGGGAATCTCAATGACCGGAGATCCACCTCTAGTTATTTTACATTTGTTGCAGGAAATCTTGTCACATGGCGAAGTAAAAAACAAAATGTGACAGCGCGATCCTCAGCAGAAACAGAGTATAGAGGGATGGTACATGGAATATGCGAATTGTTATGGCTCAGGACCTTACTCACAGAAATAGGTTTTGAACCTAAGAAACCTATGTTACTATACTGTGACAATCAGGCAGCATGGGAGATAGCTAATAATCCAGTCCAGCATGATCGAACTAAACACATTGAGGTAGATCGACACTTCATCAAGAAAAAGTTACTTCTGAAGTTAATGGACATCCCTTTGTCAGATCAAGTAAGCAATTAGCAGATATTCTAACCCATGCAGTCCCTGCGGAAGCTCTTTATAAGTCTTTAGACAAGTTAGGCTTAGAAGATATATTCGCACCAACTTGAGGGGAGGTGTTAACATGTAATTAGTCACTGAATTAGAGGATAGTTTTCTATATATAGAAAACATACTCTATAAGAGTCAGATATACATTACTATATTTCTTTCAGAAAGATAGAACCAATATATATATTTGTCTATACAAGACATCCTTCCACAAGAGAAGAGATGCAGAGTATACATCCAACCCTGAGCCTTAAAAGTTAACACTTTATGCTTCTCTTCACGTGAATGGCGTGAATAGTGCTGTTGCGAGTATCAGCAAGCTGTCATTGTTTTCTTCTGAGAGTAGTAATGGGTAGATTTTTTTTTATACTAGAAAGTGGTAGCATCTAAAGGATTTGTCCATGAATGGCTGAGTATATGTCATTCATCCAACCCCACGAGGGACTAAAGCATTCGTTCTTACTCTTCCCTTTCAGCATTCTGCTTCAAACCTGCACAATTACATGTAGTTGGATCGTTGTACGATCCTAGCTCGTCCCAAAAAGACTTGAGTTTTGTATAGTAGGCTGCTATGGACTGTTGTTGTTAACAGTGCTCCACGATCCCTCGTTTGAGTTCAAGAAAATACGAGAAAGATTTCCTTGTAAGAATCGTTCATTAAGATCTGCCCATACTTCAGCAGTTTTGTTGGAGAAAATCACAGTATTAGTCAGGGTTGGATTGATTGAATTGAGGATTCAAGACTTCACGATTTGATTGCATCTTCTTCAAGCTCCACACTTAGGATCCTTCTCCAATGGTTCTATGATTGTCCCGTCAACAAAGCCAAGCTTGTTCTTGGCTTCCAGAGACATCATCATAGCACGACTCCACATTGCATAGTTGTCACCTTCCAAGAGTTGAGTGACGATAGCGTGCCCGGTGTGATTTGAGAGGTGAATATAATAGGGATCGTTGAAATCCATAACCTCTGTCAACTTCTTTTCTGATGAAGTTTCTGTCATGGTGGTTAACAAAATTGGCGGAAGCAAAAGTGAGCAATATCATGCACAAGGATGGTTCTTTGATACCATAATAAAATTGAAATTGAAGAAAAGAATAGGAAAAGCTTATATTTTCTATCTTGTCTTTCTCTGTTTATAAAGGAATAACATCTAGTCTGAAAAGGTAAACTGTAAAAACAAATATCTAAAGTTTAGGACCTGGTTCCAGTAATTACAATCTCATTTACTTGCTGAAATTTGATCCACAAATCAAGATTTGATTGATGTTAGTTCTGATTTCCAACAGGAGAAGACTCTAGCCACGATGGAGAAGGTTAGCATAGATACGAAATACGACACTAGTTAAGCGAACTGTATTTCCTTTTCATTTCAGGTTGGCAAGAACTGGTAATTCAGAACCAAACACAGCAGCAAATTCAGGCTTAGCAGAGAAAGAATGGTTATTTTGTCAGTTCGTAACATCAGGTTGAAAGTTATCTTAGAGATTAATTCAAGCAATTGATGGTTTTTGATTTTGAACTAATGAGGTGTGATTTTCCATCATAAGCTGTCAAATATACATAGCGGCAAATCAAAAGCAGAATACATCTACAAACCCAGAAGAAAGAAGAAGAAAATGTTTCATTAGAATGATGAATTCGGTTCATCACTGTGGCAAATGTTTCTTACACGCGCTAAAATGAAGTAATTTACTTAAAGGGGAAATTTATCACAGGGTTGACGATCCTGCGACGCAAGTTTGGACAACAAAAGATGTAAAAAACCAATAATCTTACATTAACAATTGGACTTTCTGGCACATCTGATTATCTGGTTTATAATTGTCTGTCAACACAATTTATTTCATTTCAGATCAGACGGTAACCGGAGGAGTCTCTTTGTTTGCTTCTTTGGTAGGAGCAACATCTGATTCCTTGTTCTCAGTCTCTTTGGCAGGAGGGGTTTCCTTTTTCTTCTCAGGTGCAGCGGCGGCCTCAACCTTGTCCTCTGGTCTGCCAGCAGGGGTTTCATCTTTCTTCTCGGGCTCGGCAGCAGGAATCTCTGGCTCGGCGGGTTTCTCACCCTCGTGTTTTTGCTCGGAGACATCTACCAAAGGTGCTTCAGTCTTGATCTCACCCACCTCCTGCTCCTGCATATATTCACATAGTGTGGATTATAAGACTCATTCATGCATTCACAATAAAAGATCATCAACACCGAAAGAATGAAGAAGATAAAGTTAAGGTAATTAACATACCTTAGCAACGGTCTCGCCCTCAGCCTGGTCAGGGTTGACAGGAGCGTCACTTGGGAGGGGCTCTGGAGACAAATCATCAGAGCCCTTGAATTTACCCGCACAGCCTCCCATGATGTTTTTCACCGTTGGAATGGATGCGGGATTCTGAGGCGGCAGAGTGATTAAAATCAGAAACACAAATGGCTATCGATTCCCAAGAATGTGATTTGAGGTTGAGGGATCAACTTTGATTACGATGGGAGTGCATAATATATAGTTGATTCATTTTTCCATATTTGAGACAAATTTGTTTGGCAAACCTGTGCATGACCTTTTCCTATGGACAGCATGCCTCTGTTCGGCGATTTTCATGTTGGAGCCAGACAGCCAGTTATTACAGTTAAAAACTGCTGGATTCGTTGGTTCCAAGTGTCTTTTCCTCGCTTACTCCTCTCCTCCTAGTGACTCTGATTTATTATATTTTTTCTTGATTATATTTAGAGACTGTTTTCTCACTTTAGCTGTCCTCAATCCGTAACTACTCGAGTCGAGGAAGAGACGAGCAAAATTGGACTTGCTTAAGTTTTGGCCATTACATTAAGCTAGGGCAACAACCAGAATTAACCGGAAAAACTTGCATCTACAACTGGCAGTTTGTGTGGCTGTTGCCTTCAGGATTTTGGTTATCAAGCAATGGAAAAAAGTCCGAATAGGATTGAAGAAAAGTATGATAACAACCTGAAGGGAAAAAACATATATGGTGATGGATCAATATTTTTGTTTTTTTACCTCGATCTTCTTTTCTAAAAAAATAATCATGGTAATAACTTAGTATCTTTGGATTCGATCAAATGCTAAGCTTAAATATATATAGGTCTGGTAAGTTACTAGATCTATTATCCCTAAACTCGGTCAAGTGCTAAGCATAGACATGCATGAGTCTGACGAGATGTCAAACCCACTATCTTCAAACTCAACCAAGTGTTGAGTTTGTGATCTTTTTTAACTTTAAAGAATATTAGGCTCTATGATTACTCTAATAAGTTAGAAATATTTTACTTTGATAAAATAAAGATATTTTATTCCTTAACGAGCTAAAGATATTTATCTTGATAATTTAGAAATATGTTATTTATACTTTAACCCCTTTTCTTTTAAAAAAATGACAAGCTGAATGGACTATAAAAAGAGACCACAATATCTCTCAAAGGCATGTTCTTTTTTTTCTCCACTTCTTATTATATATCTATTTGTAGCATTCTTCTCTGCATTTTTTCTAAAACAATACTCATTTAAGCATTTGAGAGTTTTTAAATTCACAAGAGAAAATTTTTTATAGGTATTCGGTATTATCCATTAGCCACCTTAACTAGAGAGAATGATTCAGATCATTAGAACCAGAAGATTAACCTATTATTCAAAACAATACCCATTTAAGCATTTGAGAGTTTTTAAATTCACAAGGGAAAATCTTTTACAAGTATTCGGTATTATCCATTAGTCACCTTAACTAGAGAGAATGATTCAGATCATTAGAACCAGAAAATTAACCTATTATTCAAGACATCATCTTAGCCCTCAACCTTATTGGCTAATTTCAAACCTCATCGGTGATATCATCTGTGAGAAAATAAAAAAAAATCATTAATTTTTCTTTCAAGAGTCAGGTTATTGACATCCCTAATTACCACTAAATATAAATCATCAAAAAACTATTGAAATGAGAAGTGTCATAGACTTTCCTAAAACTACTGGCATACTTGTTTTGTCAGTGCATCAGCAAGTCTTTATTACTTAGGAAAGTTTAGGCAATAATTTAATTGCTCCAAGTCTGAGGAGGACTTCCTTCAGCTTGCCTATGAGCTTAGTAAGGTAAGAAAATTCATGTTATACATATGTCCATTTTACGAGCACAACGAGCACAATTAGAGCTTTGAAATTTTGAAAAGCTTTTGATAAAGTACAAGTGGAGTATCAGTTCAAACTATATCATTATAGAACTCTATTTAGTGATCTCCTAGAAGACATCCATCGAAGAAACTTTGTTCTTTCACTTTTTAGGCCTAAGACTATGATCTCAACAAAAGTATCATAAATTGATTGTACCTTAAAAGGAAATGTAAATATATAATGTCACCAACTAAGAATGTAAATTTCTTATATATAAATTAAATTGTTCAAAGTAACAATATTTTCTATTATCCAGGAGCTCCCTAGGATACAAGCTCCTCATCTTTTCAAAGATGGAATGAATTCACTTTTTCTATAATTACCGGGGAAGAAACCAATGTCTTCCTAATACTATAATGTAGTTTATTTTAGAAGTATTTAACATAATCTTTCTAATACAATCGTACATCTCTTTAAGAATAAAATAAATATTATCTCAATAACAAGGATGCGTCTGATATTCCTAGGAGACAAGCCCCTCATCTTTCAAAGGATGAGATTGATTTATTTTCTCTAGTGTGATTGTACAAGTACCCTGGATAATACAAGAATTGAATTATGTGTGATATTATAATTATATTGCAATTGGACCCCTTTATAATAAAACCATAAAATCAAGTGATAAAATTTGTAATATCTCTTTAAAATTGAGAATGAATAATAATTTAAATTGCATATCCATTCAAGAAAAAAAATTATATTTTTGCTTATTTTTGTTGTATTTTGGATTCTTATGATATGATTTCAATTATTTAATTAATAATCCTACAAATACTTAATCTAATTTGATGGGTAAGTTTGAGTTATACACACACAACACAAGTGTAATATAAAATAAAATCTGAGAAAATAATAGGAAAGATTAATTAGTAAATGGTAGCCACATGAAGGTAATCATAGAGCAAAACATTAAATAGTTTTAAATCATATTATAATTATTACAAGTACAAAAACCTTGGATGTTTTCCATATCATCATTGGCAATCATCTTTCTTTCTTTCTTTCTTTCTAGTTTAGTAATAAACATAGCAGTAATTCATGTGAATATTATTACAAGGGAGGACATCTTTCTTTCTTTCTTTCTTTCTAGTTTAGTAATAAACATAGCAGTAATTCATGTGAATATTATTACAAGGGAGGAGTATTTTGAAAGACGTGTGTGTGGTGTAAGCTTTTGCATTACGAGGCAAGAAAAGCACACAAGAGCAGACAGATAAAAGTTGGCGAACAAACCTAAAGAAAAAGAAAAGGACACATGAGATGGGCCAGGCGGCCAACCTCAAGCAGCTAAGCTTAGTATATGCCTTCTTTCTGTAATTTACCTTTCCTTTCTGTCTTAATTTCCATGATTTCATCTTCCTGACGGGAACTGGAATTTCCCATGATTTATCAGCTTCCGTTCCCGAAGAAGAAGAAGATGATGATGATGATGCCATCCACATTGTTAATACATTTCCTCCTCATTACCTCCATTGCCCTCTTCTCTGCCCCCACCGTCCGATCAGATGCAAATCCAATCCGATTACCAACCCTAGACCATAACAACAACGACGATGATGATGATGATGCGTGCGGAGAATGGAGCAGAAGATCCCCTGTCTCCTCCTGCCCTGTTAAGTGCTTCCGGCCAGACCCTGTTTGTGGCGTGGACGGTGTGACTTACTGGTGTGGATGTGATGATGCACGATGCGCAGGGACCAAGGTGACCAAGAAGGGTTTCTGCGAGGTTGGAAATAATGGGGCTGCTGCTCAAGCTCTGCTTCTTGTTCATATTGTTTGGCTCATTGTTCTTGGTTTCTCCATCTTGTTTGGATTATTTTGATTCCAATTATCGTCTCCTCTTTCTGCTTCTTTCTGTACATCTGCACTTGCTCCATGTTTGAATATGAGAGACAGAGCTTTGAGGTGGGTTTTCCCCGCCACTCTATCGTTTTTTTCTGGCCTTTTCTTTTTCTGTGAACATATAATAGGATTCAATACACATTAATGGCATGCATGAACTCAACTCAACTATTAAATTTTTCATGTTTTCTGTTGCTTTACTCAACTATTTTACGGTATTGTTCTTTTCATTCTTTCTTGATACAGCCCTGCTTTTACTGGTTATTCTGTTGCTTAATCGTGCATCCAATTTGAAAAGGCTCATCTATGCCCTCTTTCTACCATGACTCGAGATTTTGATTGCTGCAGAGTTTGAACTTCGAATCCCTCGGGCCCTCCTCAGTAAAGGGTCTTGGGGGTTCCATTTTGCTGGGGCCACATTGTTTTGCGCATACTAAGTTTGGAAAACAACTATTCGGGGTCCAGACTCCAGAATCATTCTGCATACCAATGCTTGTCGGAGAAAACTTGTCTTTGCATAGAAGCTAAATGCATGCTTTTACCCTCTACCCCGTAATGATCATCTGTTCAATGGTTGTCTAAGCCAGCGCCTTTAATAAAACACCTTCACAAGTTCAAAAGAAACAGAAACCAGCTTGATAGACAGCTAGGAAATATGCACAATGAGTACCATAAAACGGTCATCACAACATCTGCAAAATAACCTCAACGGTTCCTGTTCTTGCCATATAAATTTGTTAGCATAACTCTCCGTCCATTTGAAGTTGGTAATGTGAGAAAACCATGACAATAGAGCAAATAAAAGAACAAACTGAATGTTTTCAGTAATTCCCCCCAAATTACTAAGAGTGGCCTATGTTCAACTTCTCTCTTTCAAACACTAAACTTGGAATCGGACTTTAATTAGTCATACAACTGGTAAAAAAGAAAAAAACCATGGCTGGCGGTGGTTCCTTTTTTGGATTTGTTTGGCAGAATCAACTCTATCCTCCCTTAATATTCCTTAAAACTCTATTCAGCTTTCCCCTTTTTGCGGCTCTGAAGTGAAAATCCTGGTTCGCCATTATCTCTAGCACTCTCACCCGTGGATTTGATTGCAAAGGAGGAAGCATTGTCCTCTAAAACTGTGGTAGAATCCCCGGATTCAGCAGATGTGCTTTCTGCTAATGAAGAAGACCCATTACGACCACCATTGGAAACATTACCAAGCAGGCTCTTGTACATAGTGAAAGCTTGAGCCATAATATTGGCAGGATTGCCAGTAGCGCTGGGAAGCAGTATCGTTGTTCCCTGAAAAAAAATGAAAAGAAAAAAAACATTAGAAAGTTGTCAACTAACTGCTTATCAAACTAGACAATCACATGTGCATCTGAGTAAATCTCCTCACCTCTTTGGCAATGTTACCAAAAGCTCCCACATATTGCTCAGCAATTTTCAAACTAGCTGCCTGCAAATCATGCCACAAACTTGAGCCTTGATGCACATTAGACATGGCACAATTGATTCTCTAGCATATGCTAAAATGATTGAATCACGAATCATAAATCATATATAAGGTATAAAACATGTGTAAAAATAACTAATCTAAGGAATATCTCTCTTCTAGATGAGATTTTAAATCCCAATGCAACCACATCACAATCTAAGTAAAGAACCTCACCTCAACTCCCCCACTCTTTTTAATATACTCTGACACGATGGCAATTCCTTTGGCTGTTGCTTGTGCTTTAGCAAGAATGGCTTCAGCTTCACCTGAAATATTAATGATAGGATTCCAAGGTAAACGAAAACTCTTTAAAGATAAGCCATAATATTGCTTGATCAAGTCTGGTTCGTTATTAAATACTTCAGAGCAATTAATGGATCTAGAAAATGAAATGCTACAGGATTACATCAAACTTAACAATCCAAGGCAGCCAGAAGAGAAAATTAAGAGCCCAAATGCCCAGTCTATTTTTTCCGCAACTTGGTATTAGCACTGTCATGTAAAAGTTTCAACAGATTGGAAAGTCTGATTATAACAAAAATGCTCTCACGTCATGTGGTTTGTTTAAAAAATAATACTAGACTTGGTATTAGCACTGTCATGTAAAAGTTTCAAGAGATTGGAAAGTCTGATTATAACAAAAATGTTCTCATGTCATGTGGTTTGTTTAAAAAATAATACTAGCAATGTTACAGCCATCCCTAACAAAACCCAATCATAATCAATGGAGTAATCACAAATACATAAGGACATAAGAAAGACAAGGATTGAAAGAGAATGAGATTAGCTACCTATAGGATAGCTGTATCAAATAAACCATAGTATTGCCTCATGAAATCTGTTTGCTTATCTAATATTTTATAATGGCTTGTGGGTCTAGAAAATGAAATATAGAGGAGCATCAATGGATTATTGCACAAACACAGACACAAGAAAACTAACCTTGTGCTTTGTTAATGATAGCTTGTTTCTCTCCTGTTGAAGGATGGAGTTTCCATAAAAAAAATAATGGTAATTAGATGATGAACATTAGAAAAGTAAAGTGTGCTCTATTTCAAAACAGTACTAGAGAGGTTACAACTGTCTCTAAAGAAACTTGCAATCAATGAAACTCTTACAGTACATAATAAAACTAACCTTGTGATGCCAAGATCTCAGCACTCTTGTGACCATCAGCAATATTAATGTCGGCCTGTCTCTTTCCTGTTAAAAATCATCAATACGAAAGTTAAGCATTAAATTGGCAAATGAAGAAATATTGCAATGCCTCAGGACAAGGAATAAATGATTTTAAAACAGGTTGCCTAAGATGTTTTAGTCATGAACAACAAAGATTTATAGATAAAACTGTGAAAAAAAGTTATTGCATTATGTAAGAGCAAAGATGTGACAGGGGCAGGAAGAAAATGTGACAGGAAGGATCGTTGGAAAAGGACCTAATTGTGAGAAGATGGCGTCACAATTCTGTAAAAATGTATAAAAATGATGCATGCAAGCAATTGCAACAAAGTTCGATTAAAGTAGAGTTTAGTTAAGCTGAGCAAAAAATGGAAATAATAAACTTCATTTACTACCTTCAGAGTCGAGAATTTGAGCTCTCTTTCTACGTTCTGCTTCGGCTTGCATCTCCATAGCTTGCTTTACTCCACGTGGAGGAGATATATCCCCTGAAGAAGAGAAGACAGTTAGGAATTCACAGCAGATGGAACAGAAACCTAACATAGAATATCAAATTAGGTAACTGCGGCGGGCTCACTTATTTCATAGCGAAGGCACCGGAGACCCCAGTCCGTTGCAGCCACATTAATGGCCTCCTGCAGAAATAATGACAGTTTTACACAATCAACAGCCTTAGAATTATTGAATGAGAAACATTATCAAAACAATCAATGCCTTTTCTTCGTCAATAAATGAATGAATGGATGAAATGCAACCCGCTTTGAAAACCAGTAAGAAAACAAGATAGAAAGGTGAAAGAAGGGTAGGGATAGCATACCACAATCTTTTCATTGAGAGTGTCTCTTTCTTCAAAGGTCTTGTCGAGAGTAATCTTACCAAGCTCACTACGCATAGCGGTCTGGGCAAGTTGAACAACAGCATAGATGGGATTCTCAACACCATAAGAGGCAAGTTTAGGGTCCACAATCTGTTCAATAAGATTGGTTTTTAGCATTAGTATTAATAGCTGATTCAATAAATAAAATAAAAAGAGAAGAAGAAAGGGGACCTTGACATAGAGGACGCCATCGATGAGAATGCTGACATTGTCTTTGGTAATAGCAGACTGATCAGGAATCTGAATAGCCTCTTCCTTCAAAGAATGAACATAAGCAATTCGGTCCACAAAAGGAATCAAGAAATGAATTCCAGATGGCAGCGTCTTCAAATACTTTCCAAATCTCTCTATCACAAACGCCTTCTTCTCCGGCACAATCCGTATCCCCCAATTCACAGGCGCCGTTATCTCATAACTATTATTTATTTAATTAATTGCTAAACAAACAAACAAACAAACTGAATCCAAAATAATAAAAGAGGTAATGATGTAAGCACCTGGTGAAGGGGTCGCGGCCGGTGCGGAGGAAGCGGACGGAGAGGCGGTTGTTATGGGCTAAGTGAGAAGACGGAGGGTGAAACAAGGGAGAATTAGAGGAGGAAAGGAGGGTTCTGGGAGTGGTGGTAGCCGACAAGGAGGAGAGGTGGTGGTGGAAGGCTCTTGCGCCGTGGTTGATCAAAGAAATAGTAGTGCTGCTACTTCTTCTCCACATTTTTTTTTGGCTCTGGTAGCTGGGCTTGGCTTGGCTTGGTGTTGAGAAAAAAAATGAAGAAAAGAAAAGCCCTAGTTAAACCTTTTATTTTTATTTCTCTGCTCCTTTTCCCCAAGAAAAGAAAAGTTACTCATCTGCTGCGAGTGTCTGTGACTGTGACTGCTGGCCCTCTCCCCAGGTCTGTAACTTTTATTTTGTCAACTTAATTTCTTTTCTTTTGGTAGAAATTGTGTTTTATAATTTATTTATTTTTAGAAAATTAATTTTTGTATTGTTTACTTGAATTTATTATTAATTTTTTTAATTGTTTTTTGCGAAATTATCTCTTTTGTTTACCCACTTAGAATTTATGAGTTGGTTTTGCTCTTAGGATTCAGGGTTTGGGTTCTTTACGTGACTTAGCGTGGCTCTTCTACAAAATATATATATAGAGAGAGAGAGTTGTGTTTATGCTGGTTCGCAGTGTTTTCATTTTTTCTAAACTTGGCAAAATTAAGATGATGTATGTTTATTGTAATGCGACTGCATGATGCGGTGAAGATCAAGATGTTCAGCAGCAGCATCTTATGTCCGCATTCCTTCCTTCCTTCCCTCTTGCTAAAAGCATTTTCGACTTGCAATTCACTGAAAGCCCGCCCTTGAGCTTGTTCGTTGTAAATTCCACGGCTTTAACCAGCCCGTTGCATTTCTGTGCTTGCTGCTCTCTTTATGGAACTGGTTTTGGTCACCCTTTCGGTATTTGCTCCAATCTCAAGAGTTTATGCTTTGAGCTAGCGTTGTTTCTTAACGGCCCCCCCTGAAAGGGTTTTCAAAATATCCAGAGTAACCCAACTGCTTTACTTGAAATTTGATGGGATCGTGTTTGGTTTTGGATCAACAAAATATCTTTCCAAGTTTCGGGTTTTTGCACCAAAACTTGAATCCTTCGCCTATAAGAAATCACTTGCTATGGATTTCCATGGGCTCGTTCTCCCCTCCCTTAAGTATGTAGATGTTCGTGTTTCTCAGTCTAGTTTTCTGCTTGAATTATATTGTACGTCATATGTGTTCATACTTGTTTACTGGAACTACATCCTTCTCCTTTCAAGAGATTGGAGTCTTTGAAGCTGAAGCGCACTTCTGATTCATTCACCATCCCCACCAATGTAATGTCCTCTTTAGTTGGGGACATTCCTGCAGAAACTGTACTTGTGGATTACCCGAAGGTTCTTACAAATCTATACAATTGTTGTTCTTTAGCTGTCTGATTCCATAGTATTCCAAGTTTCTGCAACATGTTATCGTAACCGTAAGCATACGCTTATTCACAAATCTCTCTTTTGTTGTTAATTCTAGACATATTTTCTGTATGATTCTTAAGAACAATGATGCGGATCAACATTATTCCTTTGTTGAACTTGATATTACAGGAGAGTTACAAATTCTGATGGTTAGACATCACTTTTCTTTCTCCAGCGATTGTTGAAATTGATCCTAGGCGTTACGAGGGCAATTAAAGCTTGTTTTCTTTCCATATCTTTGAGGCCCATATACGTTTGGTGCATCTTCTTTCTTTTCATGTCCATCATGGACTTCTCCCTCTCCCAGTTCCCTTTTTGACACTACAAGAGTCCCACCGCTCAGGAGGAAAACCTATAACTAATCAAATATGCGAGAGCAAGATCTTTTGAGGCCGATGGTCCTGCAACAAAGATACAAGACAAGAAGACATGATAAACATAGACAGATCGAGTGATCTACCTGACCACATTATCCATAAAGTTCTGTCTTTCCTTTACCTCAAACAGGCAATCCAGACTCGTGCTTTCTAAGGGATGGAGATTCCTGTGGACTTCTCTTCCCTGTCTCAAATTTGATAGCTACCGTCCAGAATATATCACGCCTCAGGACTTCTCAGATTTCGTCACCAAGGTACTGTCTCACCGTGATAATTCCTTCACGGTTTGTACTTTCGAAATCTATTCCAGATGGATTTATCTTGAGGACGTTTATTCATTTCTCATAGACTTCGTAATTTCCCAGAATGTTAGGCATTTTCTTTATCTCTGTGACCACACAAAATCTTACAGTCTAAATCATTGAAAACCCTTGAATTGTCTTCTGTTGCTTTCTATCGTCTGCCTGAATCTCTTGCCTTGGGTTTGACAAATCTGACCTCCTTGAATCTCAACCATTGTTTAATATCATATGAGACCGATTTGTTCGCTGACCCTTTTGCTGCTTATTCCAATCTCAAGAGTTTATGTCTGAGCCAATGTAGCTTTTACCGTCTTGAGGTTTTAAGAATATCCGGACTCCAACTAGCTAACCTAGATATTCAAGGATGGTTTCATTCTAATAGTTGTTGTAACAGGATTGAGATTTTCGCATCGGAACTCCCATCATTTCGCTATAGTCATTCATGTCCTGTGGATTTCTCTTGGCTCGACCTCCCCTTTCATGTCCATCAATCATCATCCGATGATTTGGAGCGCAACTTAAAGGAGACTTGGAACTTGATCAATATGTTCCGAGGGCTACACAAAGCACAGTTTGTAAGGCTATCTTCTGAGACCATTGAGGTCCTCAATTTGGTTCCTGGCTTACAAGCACAATAGACCTGCCCCTTCAAAAGATTGAAGTCTTTGAAAGTGCATGGCAAGGATAACTCGTTTGTGATACCTGATCATGTGCAGATCTACTTGGTGATGAACTCCCTGAAGAAACCTTACACATGGAAGGCAGTTTTCTTACAGAACCGAGGGATCATACTGATCACCTATCCACATCCCTGCTCGCAGATCTCACAAGACTTTAATGGCGCTTCTTTGCCTCTTTCAATCTATGTTATTCTAGAGTTTTTTGTAATATTTTGAAATTGCAAGAGCTTATGCCTTACTTTCTGCCATGTGATCTGTTAATTGCAAAGTTCAATCAACATCAGTGACTTAATTGACTTAATTTATTAGTTAGGATGCTGACAATCTTTTGCCCTTAAAGATTTTGCGGAATGTAAAAATTCATTCTTATGTACTTCTATTCTAGATAGAACTATATCAACGAAGAATTAATGAGCCTTTGCCCCCCCATGGGAGGTAGGGGGCATTTTAACTGCAAGACTTTCAAGACCAATTACATCACACGATTACACATATTCAGCTCGAATGACGCTGAAAATAAACCTTAATATCCTAAAAGGATTGATTTTAATAGTTTCTCAGAACTCCAAAATGTTGAGATTGGAATTCATGAAAAGACAAGCCTGTTCAGTGTACAGGGAAGCTTCTTCTTGACTGAACTCTTTCCAAAATCAAATTTCACCTAATATTTCTATGATGGTCAAAGATTTCAACCGGAACTTTCCCAAACAAATAAATGAACAAATTGTAGCAAAACAATCCTTCCTATTTCATGTGAACACAGATTAAACTAGAGGTTTTGAGTGTGCCCACAAATATGGTTCAGTTTTAGTTCTTGCCACCAGTACACAACTTTATAAAATGAAAAAAAAAAAAAAAAAACACCATGCACATTGCGTCTGATGACTTCCATTGAACAGCAGTGGGCACTTTCTCATATCATCCTTTTGGCTGCTGAATACTGCTTTATATGCCTTTGCTTCATAGCCTCTCTGCTCAAACAAGCAAGGTAAGCAGAAGAAACTATCAAGACGAAGTCCATCTGTGACATCAACTTACTCCTGGTGTCGATGCAGCTTTATCAAACATCAAGCTCCACCTGCATGAAAGTAAGAGGATTTAAGAACCCTATTTCGAATATGCATAAATAACAATAATTCAAAGTAGCAAACAATGTGTTTCAAGATACATATCTAGAAATTTTCTACATTGTGCAACTTTCAGGTTGCTACCTAGGAAGTCCATTGATTTCAGATGATACAAGCAAGTGATGGATTCCAGCTACCCAAACATGTATACATGGTATTCCAAATTTGAGGATGTTGTGCCAGTGTTTGTGAAAGCTGAAAAGGTTTCGATCAATTAACTACTTGATTGAGATCAAGGAAACAAACATCGAGCACAATCTCCTTCTCCAGGCTCTCCCAAAAAAAAAAATGGAAGAAGCTATTACTAATATTCTCTGACCAGCTTGAATTACTGGAGGAAGGGGCACAAATTCAAACTCTTTTCCATTGAATTTGAAGTTCTGGAAAAACATAATACACTAAAATGCTTGGGACAGTGCACACATAACATAATAACACAATTATCATGTCTAACCAAATCCTAATTAAGAACAGGTGCAATTAATTAAAGAAATGCAAGGCAGATTAATTTTCAGCATTTTAGAATGTCAGAACCACCAGATAACATAAAATGTGGGTACAAATCAACTATATATCTTGCTTAGGAAGATGGTGACTGATGACATGCCAGAAAAATCAATAACATGGAATCAAACAGCTAAAGAATATAATCAAAAGTCAAATTATATGTAGGAAATAAAAAAAGCGGACAGATAAGTACCTATAGGTAATCTGCATATATAGTTTCAGCGTGAGGAGTGCCACCAAGCAAGTAGGTCATCACATGAGGAGGCACCAAAGGTTTATTGTTGGGGGCAACTTGCAAAGACTTCAATCTTTTAAAAGGAGAAGGTTCTTGTTCTAGTAAACCAGGAAATGAACCAAGGACCTAATTACAAGAGACACCAAAATTCCATGTAAGAGATAACCATCAACAGCTTTTTCAAGAAACTGAAAAACAAGGAATCATGTTTGCACCTCTGGCTGTCAACAAAGTACGTGAATATAATTATTTACAGCTCTAATATCGATAGAAATGTTGCAGATTAATCAATGAATTCTTTTGGCAGCAATGTAAACTTCTTTTAATTGCTTCAATGTAACTAAACCCTTAACACAGTGCTAAATACAATGACAGCTCTAATTTAGTGTTCAAGCAACAAAGCAGCAGAACTAGTAAAATCTAAGTTGATGCACAAGATATGTATATATAAATACCTCAATGGTTTGAGAATGTAGCATGACTGATTGAGCATTGCCAAGCCCTTTGAACATATTGACCAAGCCCAGATACGCCTCTTTCTTCTTGTCTTGCTTGGTACAAACATGAACACGGGTAAAATTAAGGGAGGGAAGGTAGAGTCCAGAGAAATCCACTACATGAGAGAGTTTGTAGACAAAAGAGATGAGCTTTGGTGCAAAAATATCAATCCTATACAGTAATCCTGCTAGATTCATATATCCAAGGCCTACAATTTCTAGGTTAAGTAACTGGAGCCCAGATATTTTCAAGACCTTTGATGACAGAAAACTGCAAGAGCGCATGCTTAGATTTTCCAATTTCAGGCAACTAGCAAAAGGATCATCGAAATCACTTGGATTGGTAAATGAACAGTGGGAGAGACTCAAGGAGATGAGATTCGGGAGAGCAAAACCCAAAGCTTTAAAATTGAATCCAGATAATTGTAGGGTTTTCAACGATTGACATGTTAAAAATGCAGGTGGTAAAGAGAAAGATCGGATAGTGGAATGACCATAATTTATGACCATATTCTGAATGTGATGGGAAACTGCATATTTTATGACCATATCCAAGAGAGAATGATGGGGGCTCCAAGTGGAATAGAGTTGAATCTTGTAAAGATTGCTGTCCTCACGGGTAGATAATACTCTACTCACAAATCTATTGAAAGTTAAGAAGTTTTTGAAATCCATACAGGTTCCATTGAAATTGAGATCACTAAGTGAAGTCCACAAGAATCTCCACCTTTTGGACAGTACACTTGTCTGGACAGCACATCTGAGGTCAACCAAGGATAGAATTTTATGAATTATGCTATCAGGTAGATCACTCAATCTGTCTATATTTTCGCTTCTGCAGCTACTTCTAGCTTTATCTTCCTCATTTTCCATTCTTCTGCTCTGTTTTCTGACTCTACAACAACACAACGTCCAATTCCAGGCTCCTCAATTTTCTCAATAGGCTGCAGCGAGTCAGCAATGTATCCAGCACAGGATTCTTGGTCTAGCCTGATTCTGAACCGTGGAAGAATGTAAAGGTGAGCACAACTCTTGACATGAAATTAGCAAGCAATCAAAACTAAAACAAAGAAAAAGAAAACATGAATCTCATATAAATAGATAAATCAATGGTAATGGTTGATCATGCTACCCAAGATTAATTACAATGAATGATATTACGATACTAGATATTCAAAATTTTATTTTTTAGAATATATTTTCTTAATCAAACATTACCATTGATGTAGCCAATACTCTATTATCCTTAACACGAGAGAATTTCAATCCAATAAGCCATTTCTCTCCCGTCATTATCCTTCATTGTCTTTGTATATTTATAAAAACGAAATATTCTACATGCCATTTTAATCTAAAGTATTCCATTCAACTTAAATCCAATTATCCAAAAGAATTGATAATCAGTTGCAAATAAGAACTTCATAATCCTACCAACCTGAAAATCTGTCAACAAGCATGAACCCGAAAGAAACATTTCTAATATTTTAGGGATGCAAGGTTGGAAACGGATGCTTTTCAAGTATCTTTTTTTTTTTTTGTAAATACATTAATATTATTTTTATTATTTTTTAAAAATTATTTTTTATATTAGCATGTGAAATCGATTGGAAACCATAAAAAATTACTTTTAAATAAAAAGAAATTCAAATCCGTTTGGAAATGTGTCTTAATATGACCGTCTTCAATCTTTACAGCATACTGCCTGCGTTAACTGTACCAAAAACCCAACTTTTCCTATCTCAAAAAACCCATCAATCCTCAAATATTATCTTCCAGAATCGATTGTTAAAACAAAGAATAGCTTATCTCTAACAATTCCTCACCAAATTAAGCAAATAATTACCCAAAAAAAGGAAAAAGAATCCCAAATCAATGAAGGTATAGAACAAGAACACGAAAAGGTATCCCTTACCAGAAATTGAGATTGCTTTTGATAATCAAGCTGTAGAGTGAAGTGAATTATTTCATTCTTTCTTCGTTTTATTTTCTTTCTTTTTTTCTGTTCACTCTCCGCCGGCTCTGCATATGTCTCTTTCATGTCCTCGTGGTTACAGAGGATTTACTATTAAACAAAATTTCTTTTTTACCCTTTCATACTTATTCCCACCAAGCTCCAGCAGCACCCCACGTATTAATGCCTTTTCTTTTTATTTATTTTATTAGTTATTTGACCGCTACCGGGAGTTGTAATTTTTAAAAAACAAAACATAGGCATATAAGCTAGTTTCAAAAAAAAAATTAACTATAAATCAAAAATTTTATATAAATATTTAATTAAATAAATTGATAATTATATATGTAAATAAATAAATAAAATCATGAAAAATTAAAAAAAACACTAAAAAAATAAAGATACCCATATAAATTGAAACATTTAATATCACGATTAAAATTATTTACTCGGTTATGTTTAATGAATTTATTTATAAAAATTAATTTATAACAAAAATCAATACATATAAAATAAATTAAATAAAAAAAATTGCTAGGCTATATATAATAAAAATATTATAAAAATTAAATATTTTTTTATTTTTAAAAATAACTTTAATCTATATAAAATATATAAAAATAAATTATACTAATCTCGTAACAAACTAAACACATTCAATGTATTAAAACACATTACCATCTCAAAATGGCTAAATAAGCCAAAACAACTACACGTATCAGTCAAAACATAAATATAAAAAATATATTTTATAAAAAAATATAAAAATAAAATCATATATTGTGAGCCTGATAAACCAAGCCTAACACCTAACCCACAAAAAAAGGTTTTATGTGCGGGCCTACAAGTCTAGACCTATGTGTAGAGGCCTTTTTTGTAATGTTAATTATGCAAACAAGATATTATCTATTCCATTCTTTTTTAAAAAAACAAAACATAAATAGATGATATGTTATTTATAATTGTACAGAATTTAGTTACTGTGATAGTAAAAAAAACAAGACTTTTGTCTTTTCAATTAAAAAATCTTATTTTTAATTTATTTTGGACTTAAAATATCTAGAAAACATCCTTAAAATCTTATTTGATCCATTCATTAACTTGAAAAACTTAAAAAAAAATAATATTAACCTATAATCAATCTGAAACTCAAAATCTTTTAAAGTTCAAATTTTTTAGATCTTTTCAAGATAAGAAAACACTCATTCTTACTTCTCTCATCATTTAAAACAATTTCACATTTAAAACAATTTCACAAAAAAACCATTGTTTTAGATATTGAAATCATCCCTAACAATGAATTTCTCCTTTTAAATTAGAATTTGACGACCCTCTCTCTCCCCTCTAATAAATAAGAACTTAAAAAAAAGAAAGTATGGTATACAATGTTTAAAAATTATAGGGATCAATTACTTGCTAACTTAAAAAATTAGGTGATTAAAATAAACTTTTCAAACACATTGCAAAGTTATATTCATTCATATTACTTGTGTTTTTAACTTAAGTTTTTTTATTTCAATTCAACCATCACCCCTGACAAATATACAATTGGTTTTTAATTTAAGTTTAAAATAGTTTAATTATGTAAAATAAAAAGTTTAAGGACCAAATTAAGTTTTTAAGAAAATCTCAGTATTATGTTCCACTGAAAGGGGAACAAGAAAGATGGCTGCATGAAAAACACAATGCGATTTGTAATATGTTGCAAAAGAAAAGAAAAAGGAAACGAAAATGCTGAGAGGATGCCATCTCCTTTAGATAATTTACATCGTGGAATTATGCTTCCTGCTCCAACATAATTATCAATGCAAAATTATTTTTATTGTCACTTTTATTATAATTATCTTGGTGCTACGGAAAGTGCCAGCGAGGAGAGGGGAAGCAAAAGCACGTTGAATTTGATGAGATACTCAAGTTCGTGACCAAAGAACCTTCGTTCTTGGAGAAGCTGCGAGAGTTCGCAAAATTTGATTGGGTTATTCTTGAGTTACGATGGTCTTTCTTATGCAGACAGTCTTTCCATGACCAAGAACCCGAGATTCTGCAGTAAAGATGTGCTACTTTGTAAATGTTGGAATGCTTGATTGAGGAACTGGATCGCGAAGTTGGAATGCTAGACTTCTAGTGCATTTCATGGTCACAACCTTGAAGGCACCATTAAGCACGAGTAAAGAAGATGGCTATTGGGGAAAGAATGTCCATCAATAAGCTCTTGGTGTCTCGGATGAGAAGTTTTCACATCAGAAGAAAAAAGGAAAAAAACCCTTTTGCAGGACCACATAACCAGGCATGAAGCTTAGATAAATGGAATAAGAGCTTTCAAACATGGCTTGTAATAATTTCTCCGTTTACATGTTGCAGCAAAAAGGATTTTTTAAGCCCCCTCCAACCAGCTGTGGAGTGAAAGAAATCTGGTTTATCTTACCAAACATAAAATATGATACAGAAAATGCATTTATTGTATATCTGTACGCTAAAGTACTGAACTGGAGTCGGCCTAGATTAGTTTTGCTGGCCTTGACTACTTTTACTCGAGAGTCTAGAGGTAAGCTTGCAGATCCATTTCATTTTGCATGCATCATTGTGAACATGAATTGTGCAGCAGATCTGGCTCGTCCCTGACAAGGTTATGGTGCTGCCATATCCGCTGTTCACGGAACTTTGCACATCAAGCCCACAGAAAAGCGTTTATATTGTATAAGTGAATATCCAGTCCACAACTGTCGCAAAGGTTCAGAAACTCACTCTAATCGAAAATTCTGGGGCAGTGAGCTGTTTTATCCAAATATGAGCTCATTCCTGAACCTCCACTTGACATAGCCATAACTGGTGCTCAACTCTTATCACGGACATCTCTCTTTCGCCAAGTAATTTTCCCCTGCTCTCGAAGGTAAATACAAGTCAGGATCCAAACTTGGGTCAAATGGGACAGATGTTGTCAGAAGTCCAATTTTAACTTGTCTGAACATAGGCAGAAGCATCGCAGAAGTTGTCTCGTGCAAAGCTTCCCCAGAGAGAATTCACAAGAAATTAGGAAAACCAAACGTGGCAGCATGCAAAGAACCATAGCATAAGATGAAAATAGAACTTCTAACCAAAGAAGTGAAATCCACTGCAAAGAGGAAGTGGTTAAAGACTCGAGACCACATGAAAAGAAGAATTTATGTTTTTATCTAATTAACTCCCTCTTATAAATTGCAAGGTGACTAAATGGTATGGCTTCTCATCCCAGTGAAAGCTGGGATAAAACACACCGAAACTCATATTTCAAAAACTACAACCATGTCACTACATGTCATTAATGTGCAATTACAAGATCTCGAACACTATATCATACTCTCTCAGAAGCCTTAGCAGTATGTACACAACATTACCAAGAACGTGGGTTTTCTAATCTGTTTCACGGGAAGATCTTCTTTTCGAGGTCTGATTATTCAGCCAAGGATGGTTCTCTGGCTGGTTCCACCACCAAAGGCTCTAATCTCTCAGCTTCGCCATTTCCTTTAGGTATGATGAGACCATATCCTCCAGATTTTCTTTTGTAAATGATATTTATCTCACCTGGACTCAAGCACACAGCAATTCAACCTCTATGTAACAAACTGCAGAGGATTAGTGAAAAACAAGTTGAAATAAGCAGCATAAGTTCCTACCAGTTTCTTCATCCCTGAAACCATAGAAATCATGATGCACATGTTCCAGCTGCTCAATAGCTTCCGAAACAGTCAAGGGTGGCATGTCAAAATACTTCGTGCGAACAACCTGAATTGGGTTTAGAGAGTGAGTCTATTCCAAACAGTAAGGGATGTTAAGGATATAATTTCAACTATTGATATGGAGCATAAGAACCAAGCCGTAAGGAAGAATTTTCAGTGCCAAGCCATAATTTGAAAAGATTGAGACTGAAATCTTTATGTGGACAAATAAAATTTTATGAAACAATTTCCTTTTGTAGAGTCTATAAATGAGTAGCTAGCAAAATTAATACGGCAGTGGCCATGGCACAAGGTATGATGCTAACTATCTGCTAATTAGACATGCCATACTGGTCATCAGATGGTGGAATGGAAAGGGCTATTTGTGGCCAAAAGAACCATTCCATGACCATATTCAATGAACTCATATTTACTGATGAGACCTAAATTTGGTGATACGAAACAATGCATAATAACCAAACACAAGCGAAAACAATAAACGGCAACCTAAACCACGAGATTAATTATAGATTAAACAAAAATTTTAAAAAGAAACCTCTTCAATATAGTCCTCATCTTCTTGCTGTGACACTTCATCTTCATCATCCTCCACAACCTGATGCATTGGCTCCCTAACCTTCAACCTATTAAACCCTTTCATGTGTCTACCATGATCAGACTCCTTCTCCTTGATCTTCCTCAACTTTCTTTGAATAATAGACGACACCAAATCAATACTTGCATAGATTGTCTCTGCATCCTCCTCCGCCCTCACCACTCCATGCCTCTTTGTGAACAAAGTCACCTACAAATAAAAACACCCCATGAAACAAAAAATCACCATTTTAAAGCAACCCGGACAGCAAGAAAGCTAACTTTCAATTCAATATGTGAATGGTACCTCGCATCTTCTAATCCTTGGACCTTTCCCCAACTCTCCACCTCTAACAGACAACCTTACATCAACTCCCCTTACAAGATGACTACTTTTTTGAACTGCCTTCCCTACTTTGTCTTCCACGTGTTTCTTAACCGTATCAGATAGCTATATCAAACCAAACATTTTGTTACATTCACAATTTGGACAATTAATAACAGAAAAGATCAAAACTTTAATCTTTATAGAATTCAAAGACAGGATAAATCAGAAATGCAAACGCAGCGGTTAGACTTTTTAGAGAGTAAAAACTCCAAGTTTTTGCCTTGAATGATTAATTTGACAGATGAAAGTGGGCCATCCCATGTCATCCTAATTGAAGAGCCACCATGGCTCAAAGGGGTCTTTGTTTTCCTTCTAATCTCAACAAAATTGACATTTTTGCCTAAAAACCTGGACTTTAGAAACACTTTTGGGACTTGGGTTTTTGTGGAGTTTACAAAAGAAGAAGCTAGTGAAGGAGTGGGAGTTGTTGATGTTAAAGGGGCAAGTCGGTTGTTAAAGCTTGCATGCAAAGTGCCTACAAGAGAAGCCATTGGCAAATTTTCTTTCAGGTTTGCTTGGATTGAATGAAGGAAAATAACGAGGCTTTGCCCTTTGGAGAGGTTTCTCACTCTCGTACAAGAGAAATGGATAAGGAGACACGTCGGCTGATGGGTATTCCATATTGGATTTGGTTGGTCCCCTCTAGATGTGGACTCAATCCTTAGGTTCATGAACCCAAAGCTTCAATCTTTATGTGTTTATTGGATAATTCTGGAAGAGGACCCACTTTTTTCATTATGAAATGGGTTTGTGGGCCCAATGTGTCGGTGCCCATATCTTGTTTCCTTGTGTTTGAACTTCGAAGGGATGACCGTGCTCTGGTCTCCCATTTCTTCCGTACAGAATTTGTGACAAAAACAAAAACAAGAAAAAGGAAAAGGAAAAGAAATGGAAATATGTATAATTACTAATTAGAAGGGTCTGACTATGGGCAGCTTGGTGGGTTTTATGCCAATCAAGCTCTAAATTTTAGTGATCAAGTGCTGAATCAATTGACTTGTTAAGAGAGGAAGCAAACCTTTTTATTAAGTGCTCCCTCGTACTTACAAAATAATAATTTTTTTAATGTTAATTCTAAAATTTGAATTTAAGAAATCAAGAACAAGAGCAAACAATTCTTAGTGATCAAAGCTATCAATTGGGGTTAGGCTAAATCATTGTAACATCAAAGTATTATTGAGATCTTGAGTTGTTAGCAACCACATGGCAGTGTTGGGTCTGAAAAGATGTTAGTTGAGATTTTCATAATACTATAGTTGTTTTGTCTTTTTAAGATGTATTGTTGGTGCGAATACGTGAGATTAAATAAAAAAAATTATTATAAATTGAAAAAATATAACTTACTTTTTGTAAAAATGAAATATGTATAGGGTTTTTTATCTCATACTCAAAGAATAAAACCTTCATCTTATATTTATACAATAAATTTTATAATAAAATAATAACCAATAAGAAAATAATAGTAAGCTCATGTAAGATTGAGTCGAGTAAAACAAAAACTTATAATTCCCTCTCTACACTCGAGGCAAAACAGGAATTTTCTAACCCTCCTTTTGGTTACGTAATAATTTGTTTTTGGCTCTTCTATTTTAAAACTTATATATATATATATATCATGCACCCTTGCAATCAAACAATGCTGAAAACATGGCCATGATATTTTCTTGTATTTACAAAACTTATTTTTGCTTCTAGTAGCTATTTCTGTGGCCCTCTCTACAAAATAAAGGAAGAAATCTATTAAATCCTGAAGAGTAGCTTTATATTAAGAAAATATCCTTAAAAATGCCTCAAGTTTTATTTTGTTACTGTCTACACAAGAAGCCTGTTCCTTGTTGTGCTGCCTTGCTGTGAAGTAGTTGTTCTAATTAGAGTTATTGAAGACGAAAATACTTGAAAAGGAAAAAGGCGAACAAACCATGCAACATATATATCACCTCCACGCCTACAATCTCTCGAGTCATCTTCTTTAACTAAACATTAATAATATTGAATCTTTGCTCTTTAACTCACTATTTTTATTTATTTATTTATTTATTATTATATTTATCTTTTCTATATCAAGTAAACACTAGAACAACATGACTGCGTTTACCCTATGAATGAAAAGTAAACATACTGAGTATTTTCTTGGGATATTGTTTCGGCATGAGTCTTTCAAAATCTCAAATTTTTTATTCTGCACTTTAAATTAATTATTTTTTATGTTAATCGAGAGTTGAATTTTAAAAGATGAGAGGGACTCTGGCGAGCAAGCACCCGGTGAAAAGAAGAGGTGAAATGGCAGGCCCTTTGGCGGCTTTGATGCCATTCCCGGCGACAATAGAAGCAAGAAGACCACATAGAAAAACATGTCATTTCTAGCTGACAATGTCAAAGACACAAAAAGCCAGAACCACAAATCAGAACCATCCTTAATGCTCTTCCACGTGGACAAATACTAACCATGAGATGACAACTGTCTCCTTCAAAGCACCAACAACAAATAAAATATCTGAAGACCCCAACCCAGCCAGCAAAGTATCCCACACTAAAAAAAAATTATAAAATAATTTTAAAAAGCAACAAGCATTTAAATATGGACCGTACACTACAGGCATTTAGATATTTTGGATGCTCGTAGGGATAGCACACTGTGGATCCTAAGATTAGACAGGATAGGCGATAGACTCTGTATCACAACCATTGGATCTTGGCCTCATATTATAGGTGGTGGGTTTTTTTTTTTTTTTTTTGAAAAGGAGGTGGTGGGTTATTTCAGATATTTCTTAGAATATTTAGCAAAGGATTAGATTTTTGTGTGTTTTATGCTGCACCAAGCCAACAAGAACACGAAAAACCGCGCACGCACACGCACACGCACACGCAAACAAAATATCGAGGCTAAAAAATGTTCAAACTTTAGAGGCAGGGAGAGGTTGTAACATCATGGGAGAGGTAGTGGTTAGTAGTGATGAAGAATTGGAAGTGAAAACAGGAAGTGAAACAGAGGAGGGGAAACAGAGTAAAGAAGAAACAGAGAGTGAGACAGGGGAGGTGAAGAGGAAGAGGAAGAGGAAGAGGAAAGAAGGTGAAGTTTCAAATAATGGGTTAGTGAGATGGGAGAGATTTTTACCAAGAATGGTATTAAGGGTTTTGTTGGTTGAAGCTGATGACTCAACTAGACAGATAATTGCTGCTCTTCTTAGAAAATGTAGTTATAAAGGTAAGTTGCTTGGTCTTGTTTCTGAATTTGGTCCAATCGCTTCTTCTTCTTCTTCTTGAATCTTGTGTTTATTATGTGATTGGTGAACTGGGTTCTTGTTCGTTTTGATGTTTATGTTGATCTTTTAAAGCATGATAATTGTGATGTGGGCTTGTCTTTGTTTGATGGAGAAATGGAGAATCTTTTTTGTTTGTAACATTATGGCTCTGGGACTCAAGTTGCAGGCTTTTTATTTGTATATGTTGGTCTAAACTTGATCTTTGAAGATGAGGTCTGCTAGTTTTATGTGAAGCTTATGATTTGAGGTTAATTTATTGTTAAGCTAGTTATTGGTTGCCATGGTTTCTGTTTTGAGATGAGGAAAAGATCTTCTTTGTATTACAATGAGAAATATGTTCTCTTTTCTTTTTTTATTTCCGCCATCTATTAGCTATTCTGGTTTTGATGGATAAGTTGGAATCAGTACGAGTAAAAACTGGAAAAGGACAAGTGCTTTTAATGAGTTCTGATGCATCAGGTAGCGAAGGAAAGCTCTAAAAAGCCAACATACATGCTCATAAAGGAAGTCTAGGCGTAATTTGAGAGGAAAGAAAAATAGCCAATCAAGATTTGAATATGAGTGAGCCTAAATTGCCGAAAAACAATGACCCTGGAGCTCACAACGGGTCCGAAACCAATAGAGTGGTGGATTTTGACTTTAAGAGTGACATTAGGAAAAGCTTTTCATGTATATCTTGCAAGACTCTTACTCTGAGTAAATCAAAGGTTATGGTCATTTCAATTAGACATTGTACCAAAAAAAGAAAGATAATTATCATTTAGACCTTCTTGAGTTTCCTAAGCCATTCATGTTCTGTTCAATGCTTCTATATGTAATGAAGCTTGTCTGATACTCACTAAATAAATGTTTAACATGGATTCATAGCTTTGAGATCCTTGACTTGCTGGGTCGGGCTTCTAGGGAGTCTTAGCTGATTGCTTCCTTTGACTTTTTTTTTTTTTTTATTTCTACCTGCTAATGCTACAATATATTCAACACAAAAATAGGCCACGCACTGAGATGATAATCTTAACATTTTATAGCATAGCATGCTCCATTTTGTAAGTACTGAGATGTTTTTCTTTTCTGTTGAGCAGTTGCTACTGTTTCTGATGGCTTAAAGGCATGGGAGATACTGAAAGAAAGACCACACAACATAGACCTCATATTGACCGAAGTGGATTTGCCCTCAGTATCTGGATATGCTCTTCTTACTCTTATTATGGAGCACGAGATTTGCAAAAACATTCCAGTCATAAGTATGATAGGAAGAATTAATTTCTAGATGAATGGAAATGACTTTATTATCCCCAGCTATAAGGGAACTCACACCGATGTTTTTGGGTGATTTGGCAGTGATGTCTTCTCAGGATTCAATTAAAACAGTTTATAAATGCATGTTGAGAGGTGCTGCTGACTATCTTGTTAAGCCTATTAGGAAGAATGAACTGAGAAACTTGTGGCAGCATGTATGGAGAAAACAATCTGTATGCCTTCTTTGCACTTGATCATTTTTATATTATTTTCTCTTCTTTTCATTTTAGTTGAAGGTCCATTCTATCTAAGCCCTAATCAGTTCCTATTTCTCAGTCCCTTGGTGGAGGAAATGGCCCTCATGATGAAAGTGTTGGACAGGATAAGATTGAAGCAACTTCTGAAAATAATGCTGCTGGCAATCATTCAAGTGGTGAAATGGCTTCTATCCAGAGAGGTAAAGAGCAAACAGAGAAAGGGAGTGATTCTCAGGTTAGCACTCTTTTCGTATATCAGACAGCACATGATGTACTTGGTGCTTGGCTTAGCATGAAACCTGTCTTAAAAGATGTTGCTTTATTCTTTCATATGCTTCTGTAATAAAAGCATAACTATCATACTACCAATACATATTTCTTTCATAAATAGAGTCAAGCGAGGATTTAGTATTAAATGGAACTAAAGGCATTTCAGTTCTTTTTGTGGTGAGTTTTGTTTTGTATAGTCGAAAAGCCTGGGAAAATTTCAAGCCAATCCAACCTATTCAGATTAGGTTGTGGGTTCTTGAAATGTTGTTTGAGAAGCATGAGTTCATTCTTCAGTTATAGCCTCAACTGAAACCCCTTTGTCAGGTTTAATTTGATTGAGAACTCCATCTTTTAAATCTTTAGTCATTGTTTGAATTCATCCTCTTAGCTGGGCCATTAATTTATCTCAATTGCTTATTCTAAACTTATTCAGATTCCATGAGTATCATCTTTCGAATGGATTGACTGTCCATCTAGAATGCTGAATCCCTTAGATGAATGTTGCTCATGGGATAATTGAATAGCTCATTAAGCTCAAATGTATGTATCATCAGGGACATGCATATCTGCATCTAAGAGTACATTTGTGATTAAAAGAAATTTCCTTCCAGTTTAGGTTGGCTACATGAGGTTTCATGTATAGAGTGCATGTTTCCTTTCTCTTGCAGAGCTCTTGTACAAAGCCAGGCTTGGAAGCTGAGGGTGCCCACATGGAAAACATGCAGGAATTCTTGCAGCCAGTATGGAGCAAATTTTCATTGACTGACACAAATATGCAGAAGCATGAAGAGCATGTGAATTTCGGTCAGAAATTGCTTGTGCCTGATAGTGAAGCTGAAGGTAAAAATACTGAACAATTTCATCTAGCAATATCATATTTGTTAAAGCCTGTAAGGAGAACTAACATTGTGTATGTTTCACTTAAATTAGGTTCAGCTGCAGCTGCCTGTGAAGATTCTAATAAAATTTCAGTGGACAAGGAAATTACTCAGGGAAGTGGAAGAATGACAGCTAATATTGCCATCAAGGGCTGTGACAAAACTGGTGCCCTTGCCAACTCTCCTAGAGAAGCCATTGACTTCATGGGAGCATCTACGAATCACAATTCTTTCAATAATGTCGAAATCCACTTTGGTTCTTCTCCACATTTGGATCTTTCCTTGAGAAGATCTCATCCTAGTGGGTTTGAGACTCAATTTACAGAAGAAAGACACACTCTCCGGCATTCTAATGCATCAGCCTTTACATGGTGAGTTCCTATATCTATTTACTATATCCTTGATTCATTTTATGTTTAAGCAGTTACTAAATTATCAGGAGATAAACTGATATAGTCTGTAGCATCTGCTTTCTAATGCATTCACCGATGTTCTTGCAGGTACACTAACAGGGCTTTGCAGCTTCCACATTCAGCACTGGCAAATACTGGGAATCAGAAAGAATTCAGGGCCAATTGTGATGAAAAAATATCCAGTAATGTTAATGGCTACAACTCCGATGCCTTGAGGCTAGCACCAAGTACTCGAAGAAGTGCTCTCTCTCTTGCTGCTGGTCAAACCAAGGAATATGATATTGTAACTTCATCTGCCGGTGAAAAAGTAATTCCGATCAACATTCCTGTGAAAGATACAAGGTTCAATAATCTATGCAACAGTTATGGTGCTGTGCTTCCCCCAATATTTTATAAACAATCAGATTTATCACCAATGATGAGTCAAATCTCAGCTAGCCAGAAAGAACCCATCCATAAAGTGAACCCATTTCAATGTTCCAATTATGGGAGCACCTCTGTACAGCTCTGTGATCGACTTGGTCAAAATGCAAATGATTCCATCAATGGTTCTCTACAAAAGCAAGAAAACAAATTGGATTCTTTGGAAGGTAGAGAGCATATTTCTTCCAACACTGATCAGAGTGCAAGTAGTGGTTTCTGTAATGGAACCGCAAGTCACTTTAACAGCATAGGCTATGGAAGTGCTTCTGGAAGCTACAGCAATGCTGATCAAATTGCTACTGTCAGGGCTGCTTCTGAGAGCAAAAATGAAGAAGGTGTTTTCACACATAACTCAAACTCTCATCGATCTATTCAAAGAGAAGCAGCTCTAACCAAGTTTCGCTTGAAGCGTAAAGAGAGATGCTATGAAAAGAAGGTATGTCATCTTCTCCACTGCCACAGCAACTAATAATACTTTTAGCATTGATACTTGTCTGGTTTCAGTGACGAAGTGAGAAACACTTTTAATTACACTAAATTAGAACAGCAAATATGTGATTCATTATGCTCACAAGAATTTTATGTGCAGGTTCGGTATGAGAGCAGGAAAAAACTTGCTGAGCAGCGTCCTAGGGTAAAAGGACAATTTGTACGTCAAGTGCATATTGATCTTTCACCTGCTGAAACTGACCAGTAGAGTGGAAGTTCAAGTGATAGTAGGATACTGTAATTACAGTCAATTAGAGTGGATTCTGTGATAACTTAGACTTAAATTACCCGGCACTGCCTATTGCTTTGTGAAGTCTAGAGGGAACAATTTGTAAAGAGTATGAAGATGTTCCCGACATCACATTCATGCTGAGCTGATTTCTGGATATGACAGCTTAGTTTTCTATTTCTCACGTTTTTCTTCCTCAAATTTTGCGAGGCACATCTTATCTTAATTCTTTACTGGTAGGTTCTGTTACTTAAAAAAAGCTAGGTATCTAGTACATGAACTATGAAAAACTGCCATCTTCACGTCTCAAAATATAGCAGGACCAAACCAGCTTATCTGCACCTGGCTTCGTTTTTGTTTCTTTGTATCTTTCAAACCATTGTATTACAGATGCTGTAATTTGTTTGATTAAGCTAGTAATAGCTTTGTAAAACTTCTCTCAGCTACACAGATACCATAAACAGGTTTATGTTTATGCCTGATGGCAGTGAACAGTGTATATTCTTGTTTTTACATAACATGAAATGAGTTCCACTAAGATAGCGACTATAATTTGCGACTCGCTTACAATGCCTGGAGGCTGAAGCAAATGTAATGGTAATTGAGCAAAATATCCAATAAGGGTTTCTATTTTTAACAGCACTGATTAAATCACGCCATGGTTTATGGTGCAGTCTTTTTGTTTAGGTGACTGTCTCTGCTTCTACATAAAGGTAGTATCTGTCTGAAAGCTTTTGAATCTCTTAAGAAGGCTGGGTTAACGTGCTTTCACATTGTAGTCGAAGAATTTGTCCTTCGTTTGTTTCCCCGAGTAGGTCAATATTTCAGGTTGAATGGAATCTTTTGTTGTTTCCTGTGACCAGGACAGCATGCAAGCTTGGCAGTCACCGAGGCAACGATCGCAAGTGATTCCTGTTCCTGTGGGCTCAAGTGTGCTTAACATGTTGCATTGGTTCCTTCTCTCTCCTAGAGTGTTTGATATGGCGAAAGTGAAGTTTCAAAAAAGAGGAGTTACAAGCAGAGGCCATTGAGGTTGCTTGCTTTTTTTCGATCTTTATTTACTGTACCACATGGCTCTCTACCAGCCAATACCCTTTGAAGGATGATGACAATGCAATGGTATATTCCAAATGTTGAAAAATACGTGGGCTTGAAAACAATTCAATTCGGGGGGGGGGGGGGGGGC